TTGAGGTCACAGTAAAAAATAGCGACGATTAAACACTAGGTGGCGCTATAACATGAAAAAAACATAAAAAGGGCTATGACCACATGACCGTTAGTCCGATTGACTTGAAAATTGGTATGCAGTGTCTGGACAAGGCCGCATGTATATCTATGAGGACATTGATCTAAAAAACACTGGCCGCCATCGGCCAATGAAGTTTGAGCACCTATAGACAAGGTTACGGAGGCCGATCGGAACGAAACTCGATGGGCATGTTTGACTCATGGCCCTAGAGGTCTGTAAGAATTTTGAAAAAATCGGCCACTAGTTGGCGCTAACGAGTTTTATGGCTCTGTTATCACGTGGTGTTGCACACACCCCACAAAATGTATATCAATTGATAGATCTCCTCATGCTGAACAACTTTGCCTCAAGAACCATTGCTGTCAAAATCGTTCGTTAAATATTCACGAATATGTTAAAACCTACTTTTGCGAACTAGTCCCTGGTTTTTTGCCCGATCGGAACCAGACCAGTCTGGACAATTCTTTGGACTCTCTAGATCAATAATTATCAAAAAAAAGTTGAACTTTGTCATTTGTTTTGCTATAACAGGGTCATTTACAAAAGGGGGCATGACAAAATGCACCCAAAAGCCTATAAATCCTAAAGGAAAAGTCAGAACTTCACAAAAATTGATGAGCACATGTGTCATAACTTATTCAACAAGCATGCAAAGTTTCATGGAGATTGGACTATAGGTGGCGCTAAAATTTTTAAAAATGTTAAAACAATGGATACCCTATGGTAAATTGCCATTATTGAAACTTAAAACTTAATGTCTTTTGATGCTTTTGTGCTTAAAGGCCTTAAAGGCCTAAACTGCTTGAACCCCGCTAAATGCTGCTTGCAGCTTTAATTATTATTATTATTATTATTCTGCCGTAAAACGCATCGTGCAGACCAAACCGTAAGGGCTGGAGCTCTGAAACTTTGTCAGATGGTAGTACAAAAATCGAGGAGAGGTTATCAAATTATGAGCCCGATTGGCCCATAGGTGGCGCTATAGCAACCAATTGCGCGAAACGGCTCATAACTCCTAGACCGTAAGTCGTACACTCAAGTGTCTTATATCATTGGAAAGCTGGTCACCTGACGAAAAAAACGTATATCTCCGATTTCATTTCCGGTATGCAAATTTTTCCGCCATTTTGAATTTTGTCGAAAAACTACTTTTGCGAACTAGTCCCTGGTTTTTTGCCCGATCGGAACCAAACCAGTGCAGAAATGTTCTCTGGAGTCTGAAGATCAATAATTATCAAAAAAATGTTGAAATTTCTATTTCCGGTCGCTAGGGGAAGCAAAATAAACGTTGTGGGAGGAGCCTATTTTACTAAAATGGCTATAACTCGAGAAGTAAATGAGATATCTCCACCAAACTCGGTACACATGTGTAAGAGTTCAATTTGAGGTCACAGTAAAAAAATAGCGACGATTGAACACTAGGTGGCGCTATAACATGAAAAAAACATAAAAAGGGCTATGACCACATGACCGTTAGTCCGATTGACTTGAAAATTGGTATGCAGTGTCTTGGACCAAGGCCCCATGTATGTCTATGAGGACATTGGTGT